AAGCTTGTTTTCTGCTTCCCTGGAGACTAGGACGTGAAACAATGGCTTCAAACTACAAGAGAGGAGATTCCACCTGAACATGAGGGAGAACTTCCTGACTGTGAGAGCCATTCAGCAGTGGAACTCTCTGCCCTGGAGTGTGGTGTAGGCTCCTTCTTTGAAACAGAGGCTGGATGGCCATCTGTCAAAGATGAGGTGAATGCAATATTCCTGCTTCTTGGCAGGGGGTTGGACTGGATGGCCCATGAGGTCTCTTCCAACTCTTTGATTCTGTGATTCTAAGTGTAGTTCATATCTTTACCAATCCACACACTGTCTTGCTATAGAAAACATGTAACTGTTGGCAAAGCTCCCAGGCTCAGCTACCCTCTCAGACGTGGTCCAACCAATCAGCTTCATCCTTTGCATTTTTCAGTTAACACACTCACCAACTGATTTTTACATTCTCCAACAACATTTGCCTTCTTCCTCCTTCTCAGCTGGTGGACACCGAGACGGGCCTCCCGGAATCCTCCTCCTCCTTGAAGACCGGGCCTCTTGCGGGTCCCGTGACAGCCGTCTGCTTCCTGGGGGCCCGACCAGGGCTGCTGCTGGCCGCAGGGGCCGAGGGCTCCGTCGCCGCCTTTCTCCCACCAGACCGCTCCCCAGTGGCTTCGCTGGCCGAGGAGGGGAACGAGACCCACGCGCTGGACGTCTGTCGTGACGGGAGCGCCTTCGCCACCGCCGGCAAGGACCGCCACCTCCGCCTCTATGACACCCGCACCCTCCAAGTGAGCATGCGTGGGATGGGCAGGGTTTCAGGGCCATGTTGTGATAGCAAGCACCCACACGCAGTTGATTTAGTTGTAAAGGGGCATCTCTTCTGCAGTTCATGCCCCTTTTTTCTTGTGTTCGCCTATGTTACGTGATTTCAGCTTCTGCAAGAATCGCAGGTTCGGAGCCTGGTGGGTGAAGCTTTCCAGAAGGCCATGTGAAACACAGACAGGTTGAAGGCAAAATCTGAGTCTTTTTTCTCAATGGCCAGAGGAGATACTAGTAGAGACAACTCTCCAAAGAACTGACATACCTCAATGCAGATATATTTATAGGACTTTGACAGCAGTTCGAAACGAAAGGCTTCTGCTGCCCTGAGTGTTGATAGGTCCAAATCGAGGGTGGCTTGAATCTTCAGGCTGGTTGGCTTGGATGTGCTGTCTGTCATTTTTTTCAATTGGTCTCCGGGTTTAGAAGGAAATGTAATAAATTGTCACTTTGAGGTTTTGTGGCTGTTGCTGGTTCTGCCTCTCATGGGATGTGTGAAGGAAAGAATGTGGATGGGATTGAGGTAATAGATGCTAATGATGGTAGTTTCCCTAGCCGGTGGCGCAGTGGGTTAAACCGCTGAGCTGCTGAGCTTGTTGAACAAAAGGTCACAGGTTCAAATCCGGGGAATGGTGTGAGCTCCCACTGTCAGCCTCAGGTTCTGCCAACCTAGCAGTTCGAAAACATGCAAATATGAGTAGATTAATAGGTACCACTCCGGTGGGAAGATAACGGTGCTCCATGTAATCATGCCAGCCACATGACCTTGGAGATGTCTAAGGACAACACTGGCTCTTTGGCTTAGAAATGGAGATTAGTACCAACCTCCAGAGTTGGACACGACTGGACTTAATGTCAGGGGACAACCTTTATCTTTACCTTTAGTACAAAGGTGCAAAATATACATATTAAATAATATAATTGACTGGGTAGGCTTTCTGAAAGAGATAAATCTTCGTATTTTCAATTTTGGCAGGTCATTTAGTTGTCAAAAACTTAAATGGAGGGGTTGGCATGTTGAAAGGCTGTCTTTTCAACTGGTTTTCGCTCTTTTGAAAGACAGAGCTCTGCCGAAAAACTGCTTCCATTTTAGGGGTTGAAGAATTTCACTTCCTTTCACCTTTCCTTACGGAGGCAACCTGTGTATTGATATGCACAAGCAGTGAGTCAATACTTTTGTACCTTTACCTTTTGCCAGTTTTTTTTATACTTCCAGTCTGTGAATCCAGGGAGAGGTCTGGGGTTACTGTATCCCTAACTTTCATTGTTTTCAACCCATTGTGGTGTATTATTAAAAGAGAACAACAAATCCCCCTTCTCCCTAAGTCAAAGTACATCTCTTTGCCCATTTATCTGTACCACAAAGACTGCTGCTAGGTGACAGTCCAGTATCCTTTGTGATGTTACTGTGTTGGCTGTTGCCAGGTGAAAGGTTGACTGTTGCTAGGTAGAGTGGCCCTCTGTAATGTCACTGGAAAAGAAGGGTGACAAAGGAAGGTCCATCCTCCAGGAAATAACGCCTGACTTCTCACTGGAGGGAAGAATATTAGAGGCAACGATGAAGGTCTTCATGAGAAGACAGGAAAGCTTGGAGAAGAGAATGATGCTGGGAAAAGGGAAGAAAAAAGGAAGAGGGGCCGACCAAGGGCAAGATGGATGGGTGGCTGGCATCCTTGAAGGGACTGGCTTGACCTTAAAGGAACTGGGGGTGGCCACGGCTGACAGGGAGCTCTGGCCTGGGATGATCCAGGAGGACACCAAGAGTTGGAAGTGACTGAACAAATAAACAAAAAGGAGAAGTAGGAAGGGGAAGGGAGAAAGGAAGGAAAGAGACATATTGCCATAGAGTCATTGTGAGGTAGGGGCTCTCAGAGCTGGAGGAGGGAGAAGGAGAGGAAGGAAGAAGGGAAAGAAAGAAAGAGATAAAGAAGGGAAAGAAGAAGGAAAGACAGGAAAAGGAGGAAGAGAAGGAAAGGGGAAAAGGAATGAGGGAAGAGGAAGGAAGGAAGGAAGGAAGGAAGGAAGGAAGGAAGGAAGGAAGGAAGGAAGGAAGGAAGGAAGGAAGGAAGGAAGGAAGGAAGGAAGGAGGGGAGCCCCTCCAACAGATATGCTAGTTTTCAATAAAGCTAATAGCTCAATGAATCAAACCCCAATTGGGGGTCCCTTGGGTGCCCCCTTCACTCCTCTTCCTTTTCCTCCTGGGCCATAGCTCTTCCGCATCATCAAGGCGCCGGACTTCATGGCTGGGGATGACTTCACCCCGCTGAGTGGCCACTCGCGGAGGGTCTTTGCCTTACGCTTCCACCCGGAGGAGCTGCACCTCTTCTTGACCGGCGGCTGGGACAACTCTGTCAAGGTACCTCCAACCAGGGAGCCCCCCTTCCTGCCTCTATTGGAACTGGCAGGACCACTGGGACCACTGGCTGTGCTCACAGAGTCAGAATCAGCTGCTTTTCATAAGGATTCAAGGTTTCCAGTCCTTGACCATTTTCCTCGTCCTTGCCTTAATGAGAGTCTATGCAACTTGGGTGACAGAGAGGAGTGTTGCCAGGTCCAGCTCACACTCACTTTCTGTTGTGCCAGGTATGGGACAAGCGTGTGGCCAAGGGGGCCCAGAGCGTGATCAACGGGCCCCACATCTGCGGCCCCGGGATTGACATCAAGGTGAGGAGGAAGAGGGGGAGGAGGAGGAGGATCTGGCAATGGGAGGAAAGCAGCTCAGGGTGTCAGGAGTCAATTTCTGACGGCATGAAGACATCAAAAATTT